AATCTGAATATGAATTATATTATTAAGATATTTAGTAAATTAATAAAATATTGTTTTCTCTCGTAACATTAAATTTTATTGGTGGAAATAATAAAAATCCATTTTTTCATTTATACTATATTATAAATCATTTGATAAAAACTATTTTTTATGCATGTAGTACTGTTTATTGATGTATATTACTTAAATTTTAAGATTATAAGTAAATTAATGCGTAAGTACAACTTATTAAAACTTAATGTTTGATTTTAATTATATAATATTTAAAATATAATTAGAATAATTATATTTTTAACAGAATACTTAATTATAATCTTAAATAAATTATTTTATGAAACCAAAAAAAAAATAGTTCATTTTTAAAATTCAATTAAATCATAATAAAAAATTGACTTAAATAAATTACAAAAAAAAAAAAAAAAAMTTTTAAATAGTTAATTTGATACTAATATCACTTATTTTTATCAAAATTTTATAATATCTTCAAATTTATATTTCATTTAAAAAATAAAAACATTTTCTTTTCTCAAAACCACATAAAATCGCATTATAACATTGATAGACCCACAATATAAAACGAAACATTAAAATCAAGATGTATCTCGTTGCATTATGCGAGTACCCTTTTAGTCTTAAATAATCATTTCTTAAGAGTTTTTTAGTCATAGAATTTCACCATCTCTCTCTATTATTTTGTCCGTTTTGGATGATCGGTTTGAGCAAAAAACAAACCAAAATCACCAAAATCTCTATTTTGGAGAATTTGTTGGAGATGTTCTGATAAGTCTAGAAATCAGTGTTATTTGCATTTTGCTTTGAAAATGGTACATAGTCACCAACTCCGTTAAAAAGAGTAAACTTCAATTTTGGTCCTTAATGTTTAGAAAATACTTTAAAAGTGGAATCTAACATTTGATAAGTTCATAAATCATCCTTGCGGTTTATATTTTGCTTTGAAAATGGTACCCGACAAGTTCACATTAACTTTGTTAAAATTAATTGTTAAGTCAAAGGGACATTTTTATCGTTTTTCCACTACTAGGAAAAGAGGCATTAGTGACGGAAGCGCATCCTTCACTAACAAGAGACGGCTTAGCGATGAAAAGGTCACGAAACCTATCACTCGCAAATTCGTCGTTAATAGCGACGGACAATATATGTCGCTAATTAGTGATAGTTTCTTCTAATTTCCATTTTTTTAAAAAATAAAATATAATACATGTGGTCGTTGCTAATCCGTCCCTAATTAACGATAGATTAGTGACCGACTCCTCTAATTTTCATTTTTTTAAAGAGAAAAATATAATACATGTGTCCCAGATTAGTGACGGAAACTATTTTTCCTTGTTTTTCTCATATGTATGTGTTATATGTATACATGTGTATGTGTGATATGTATTCATTGGTCCGTGTTATATAATATATATATATATATATATACACACACACACATACATGATGTATGTGTACTTTTGTTGCTAATCGTGTATATGCATGTTGTTAATTATATATATATATATATATATGTGTGTGTGTGTGTGTGTGTTTTTGTGTTGTATATATGTTTTTATGCCATCTAAACTCATCAAGGACCATCACAATTCATTAAGAGCCACCATTGATGATGATGTTATTCGGTCTTATTAAGTCATCATTAATGTTATTGGGCCTTAACAAGTCATAAAGAGAGAGTCTTACTGGGCTATAATGTATCTTAGTGAGTCTTAATGGTCTTATCAAATCCAATAAACATCTCATTCATATATAGTGGGTTTTAGTGAGTCTCAATTGATCAATTGGATTTTTAATGGGTCTTAATGGGTTTTTTAAATGCACTTTATTCAATATAATTGGACTTTAATAAGATCTAACGGGCTTTACAATTTATGTCCAGGTCCGCAAATTACAGAGGTGCCACTTGGCACTTGCGGATTTGGACATAAATTGTAATTGTTTTTTTATCTTTTAACTACATCCGCAAATTACGGAGGTGCTACTTGTGAATATAATGACGTTTGGATAAAATAAGAAGATGAATGACTAAAAGACCAATTTCAACAAAAAAATGACTACTTCAGTTAATTTCCATTTTTAAAATTACACATATACAATAATTATCAATAAACATAAAATACATTATTAAATGGAATATTTTTTATAACTTATGATTATGAATTTATAAAATATTAAAAAAAGAATAAAGCAAATATTATTTTAAAAAATAAATTGACTGACAACTGACAGTGAAGCCACTGCATTTAATAGACTGTCAGAAGACCAGCGAATACCACCCCCCCCCCCCCCTCTTCGCATTGCCCACTTGTACTGTACAACTTCGACCGCTATTTATCGTAATGAAACGTCTTTGTTTTTGGAATCTATTTTTTAAACTATATTTTCGTGTTTTTAATAAAATACTTTTTAATAATTCTCTTATAGAAATGAAATAAATTTAGATTTTAAATCCATTTCAATTTCATTTCTGTAAACGAAATAAATTTACAAAAATGAATTTAGAGACATCGTAAGATTTAATTAAAATCATATATACATAAGATTTTGAAATCCTCAATGGGTGCTTGGGATTTCACGAGATTTCGTAAAATTGTAAGCAATAAGGTTCTAAAAAATATTTGTTTTCTAATAATCGATTAATAAAAATGTAATTTTTTTTAATAAATAATGGAATTTAATTTCATTTCAAATCCTACAAACATAACATACCAATGATTTCAAATCCATTCCAATCCAAATCCCTCCAAATTCAAATTCTTTCATGAAATTCAAATCCTTAAGAAAACAATCATATAAACCAAACGGACATTTATAATATGTCTTCACTCTAATTTGTCGCACCTAGTTTTTTAGGGTGTGACATTTACTAATCAACAATAAATAATAACTGAAACATGATAATGTTACAATGGA